AAGGTTACTGCTGCCTGACCTGTCAGCCGCCTCACCCACACATTCAGATATGCCACAAAGCTGGCCGGAGTCCCAAGAATCTTCACTTTCGTGGTTTGCTTTATAATATAAGCTGCTTCTTTATAGTGGCAAATACAACTTCAGAGTGAATGGGGCAATCTGTCTCAACAGGCAGTTAGGGATTTGGTGGTAGTAGCAACGATGCCTCTTCCTGCAGTGCTAAAAAGAGTTGTCCTAATGCTGGGGTGGGAAACCTCTGGCCCTCCAGCTGCTGTTGGACTCCAACCCCCATCTGCCCTAGCCAGCAGGCCCAATTGGTCAGCAATGGTAGGAGCCAGAGTCCAACAACATCGTCTTCAGAGCCAAAGGTTAGCCACCCCTGCCCTAAAGTTGCAAAGGGTTGAGGCAGACAGACCTTCCCTAGTTGCCCCTCAGTGACATGGGCTAAGTTCTCTTTTATTTCCTATTCTTCATTGGGGGGGGGGGGATACAACATTACAAGTGCTTGGTGTAAGATAAGACATGAAAAAGAAAGAAGAAATAGTACCCATGCAGAAAACAAAACAGATCCAAAAAAAGAAGGTATTGTTTACATTACAACAAAAGGGTGGGAAATTTGTTATTGTAGCTAACCAGACCTTAATCTAATATGGAGTTTATAAAAATGAATTCCAAATATCGTTACATTTGTCCATGGCAAGTCCACGTCTGTACACAACTTGATCATGTGTAGCAAGTTTGTACATATCTTCAATCCAATCATTAAAGGGAACTGCATTTTTATTTTTCCTGTTCATCAATAACAGTCTTTTTGCCGTAGTAAGGTTGCAGAGAATCCATTCATATTGTCCCTTTGTTAGATTCCATGTGTTTGGTATATAATTCAAAAGGGTATTTTCCTCTGCAAATTTAAGATGGTTCCATACAGTCTTGTTGATTGTCTCTATTGCCTTCTGCCAGATATTTTTAAATCTAGTACATTGTACAAACATATGTTTTAGGGAGCCATTAGCCTTATCACATCTCCAGCAGCTAGATGTCTTACATAATATTTTCATAAACAAGCGTACTGGAGTCCAGCAAGTTCTAAATACTTTTGTTGTGGTTGTATGGGTCTTAATTTGAGGTCCAGAAGCACCCTGGACATGAGCTAAGATCTTATGATCCTACTAGGGGCTGCTACCCCTGCTTGCTCCTCTCACCATCCCCAACTACCCACAAACCCCTTTGCCAAAACCCTTCCCCCTACCTACCTTTACACCTGTCCAAACCCCCCTCCCCTTACCCCTCACCCAGCTCCTTGCCTATCCCCTCACAGCTCACCCCATGCCTCTCCACGTAGCTTGCCCCAGGCACCTCCACTCACAGCTCACCCCAGATCCCCACCTTCTTCAAACAGAGGAACAGGCACTTCAGAAAGCAGTTTTCTGAAGCACCTCTCCCTCACCCCTCCATTAAACCTCCCTGCAGCCGCATTTAATGAAGTGGGGAAGTTGTTTCACAAAGCAGTTTGCCTGGGTCACCTGCCACCCTGTTATCATGCTGGAATCGCCATTGCCACCTGCTGGCAGCCACACACACTGCAGCATGACAACAGGCTTAGATTTTTATGTGTATAAGAAGATAAGGCGGCGATAAGAGAATCCTTTTGGGGCTGAGGGCCAAAGTTACCACAATTCCCAGGGCCACATTCCAGTACTGGGTGGGGGGCAGACCTAAAACTGTGTGTTTCAAACCCCACACCATCACAAAGCTGTTTCCCATTGAAACAGAAGCATATATTTAATTGTTAGTATCCACACTCAGGTTACGGCCACCATTTCCTTCACAGACTTTTTAGTAGTGTGGGAGGGTGAGACCCACCTTTCTCTGGATCAAAGAAACTGATGACCGACAGCCTGACCCTTGCATAGACTTGATATGTGGGATGACAACTGGCTTTCCTGTAGAGTTTCTGTTCATTTTCTTGGAGGGCAAGGTATAAATCCTTCAAATAATAAGAAACCCCTGCCAAAAAAAAAAAAAAATCCAAGCCAATAAAGTGAGTTCTCTCTGCCCTCTGCTCAAGACCCAACTCCAAACAAACTGACAGGGAAGAAGATGCCGAGCAATTGAATGTCAAAAGAAATTACTCTGATTGTTCAACAATTTTGCCTTGAAATTGCTAACTGCTGCAGCTGAAGTTGGGCATGGAAAAAAAGAAAAGACAGAGTGTGTTTTTCAGTTGTAGATGGCTACAGTCACCTTAATCTTCTGCTTATGAATCCAAAAATCATATAGGGACATGTCATCAATCATGTCTGGGTCAAAGCAGACCCGCTCCTAGTAGAGGCATGGAGATAGTTCCATCGCACTCACCTTATTTGGTGCAAACCCCTTCATAAGAGCTTAAGAAGATCAGGCCAATGGTCCATCTGCTCCAGCATTCTGTGCTTGCAGGGTCTGACCAGATGCCTGTGGGAAACCCACAAGCAGGAACTGAGCACAAGAAACTCTCCCCTCCTGTGGTTCCCAGAAACTGGTACTCAGAAGCATTGCTGCATCCAATTGAGGGCAGAGCCATTCACAGTCTTGTCCTCCATTAATTGGTCCAATCCTGTTTCAAAGCCATCCAAGTTGGTGGCCATCCATGCCTTGTGTGGGAGCAAGTTCTACAGTTTTAACTATGCTCTATGTGGAAAAGTATTTTATTTGTCCTGACTCTTCCAACATTCAGCCTTGTTGGATGTCCACAAGTTCTAGTCTTATATAAGAGAGAGGGGGGAGAGAGAGAGAGAGGTTGGGAAGATGGCAAGCAGGACATTCTCCATCACCAGCATTCAGAGGCTTATTGTCTTGAACAGTAGAGGTAAAACATAGCCATTGTGGCTCATAACCATTGATAGCCTTTTGTCTTGGAGGAGAACCGTGGGAGTGGTGGGCTCAGCCCCATTGCTTTAAAGGTAAGGTGGGAGGGGTGTATCAAGTATTGAGACATCTTCTCTGCTTAGAGACTAGGACCCAGGGCTAGATATCTGTATCTTGTGAGTCATGTCACCTATGCTCTGAGCTGATGCTGAGGATGTGTGTGTATTGTTTCCTTTAATAAAAGTTTTGGGCTTTCCAGAGCCAAGAGTCTGGGTCTTTTGTCAGAGGGTGGGAGCCAGGACAATGTTGTCCCCGAATAAAAGCACTTCGAGATCAGACCCACTTTTATTTTTATTTTATCCAAAAGCTCTTATCACAAACAGTTGGCAATGGGACTGGAGGAAGGTGGCTGTTTAAAACCCACATGGAAACAATTACCGTATTTTTTGCTCTATAAGACTCACTTTTTCCCTCCTAAAAAGTAAGGGGAAATGTGTGTGCGTCTTATGGAGTGAATGCAGGCTGCGCAGCTATCACAGAAGCCAGAACAGCAAGAGGGATTGCTGCTTTCACTGCGCAGCGATCCCTCTTGCTGTTCTGGCTTCTGAGATTCAGAATATTTTTTTTCTTGTTTTCCTCCTCCAAAAACTAGGTGCGTCTTGTGGTCTGGTGCGTCTTATAGAGCAAAAAATACGGTACATAATGCTAGGTATGTGAAGCCAATAGACTGAGGCTCGTTGACAAAACTATAAGCAATTAAGGATCAGGGCAGCTGCAGAGTCCTCCAGGAATCTTTACTTGGTGACACGGTGAAGCCTAGAATCATAGATTCTGTATGGGACAATGGCAATAAAAAGTATTGTATTATATCGTATCATATCGTATCGTATAGAATCACAGTTGGAAGGGACCCCAGTGGTCATCTAGTCCAACCCCCCTGCATTGCAGGAATCACAGCTAAAGAATCCCTGACAGATGGCCATCCAACCTCTGCTTAAAAACCTCCAGTGAACCTTCGCCACCTTGCAAAGGAGTCCATTCCACTGTCAAACAGCTCTTACTGTCAGAACGTTCTTCCTAATGTTCAATCAGAATCTCCTTTCCTGTCATTTGAATCCATTGGTTCAGGTCATATCCTTTGGAGCAGTAGAAAACAAGCTTCCACCATCTTCCATGTGGCAAGCAGCCCTTCAGATATTTGAAGATGGCTCTCACATCCCCTCTCAGTCTGCTCCTCTCCAGGCTAAACATCCCCAACTCCCTCAACCACCTGGAGGCATCTGTAAGGTGTTAAATGGGCAAAGGTGAATGCCGAGGCTGGATAGCCCACCAAAAATGCCTGATAGCCTGACACACTTGGCAGTGGCTGGCATACACTTTTGAACTGTGATCACAGGTTGTCTCGTCAGACATTTGTGTTTATTGGTCCTTCTAGCACTGTACTTAGGTGGTGAGTGCCAAGCTGGCAGGTCTGGGTCACTGAGAGGAAGCCACATGCATAATGAAAACCTGAGGTTTGGAGAAGTGCAAAGGTGAGAGTCAGCTAGAAAAGAAAATAAAAAAACTGAGGCAGAGGGGAGTGATGCTCAGATCAGCAGGATGCTGTTACAGAAGTTGGGCTCCATCCCCACTCTCTGCTGAGCAGCAGCGAGATTCCAGGGGGTTCCAGGAGAATTGAAGGTGCAGCGAAGACTGTCACTGCTTTAAGAAATATGATTTATTCACATATTTGCACCTTCAGTCTGCATAGACGGAGTCCAGATCTTGCAGTACAGCCATTTCAAGAGAAGCTTGCTTGTCCCCTACAGCAGTGCAGTGCTGGAGTCCCAGCCGACCTCCAGCCTAAGATGAATCTCTGTCTCTGTTCTTTCCCCCTTCCTCCCAGCACACTTGACTAAAGACCCTCTTTTCCTGTCACCTCACACCCAGTTAGCCTGACAACCTTCCAAACCACCAGTCTCTGATCACACCTCAGGGCAAAGCGGGAAGACAGCTCTCTTGCATTGCCAATGGCCCTCAATGACCCGGTGTTGTTTCTTAATGGCCCTAGCTTGGCCAGGTTATCCTAGAATCATCCTAGAATTGTATAGTTAGAAGGGACACTGAGAGACATCTAGTTCAACCCAATGCAATGCAGAAATCCTGCCCACAGCCATCCCTGGGAGGGCTCGAACCACCAACCTTCTGGTTAATAGCCAGGCATACTGACCCATTGCACCCCTGGGGGACAGGGTCGTTGTGTATACGCTAGCTCAGGAATTCCTCTGCAGCTTGTATTTCACCATTCACATCCCAAATAATCGAAATCCTGCCATTTATTCATTTCTAGAGTTTAGGGGGTTTATAACAACACATAGGCAGAATAAGGTTTAAAGGCCTAACAGCTGCTCTTCATGGCTAAGATGTTGATCCCACAAGCAACATTCGCCTATTGCATGGGTAGGCAAACTAAGGCCCGGGGGCCAGATCCGGACCAATCACCTTCTAAATCCAGCCCGCGGACAGTCCAGCAATCAGCATGTTTTTACATGAGTAGAATGTGTCCTTTTATTTAAAATGCATCTCTGGGTTATTTGTGGGGCCTGCCTGGTGTTTTTACATGAGTAGAATGTGTGCTTTTATTTAAAATGCATCTCTGGGTTATTTGTGGGGCATAGGAATTCATTCATTTCCCCCAAAAAGATCTAGTCTGCCCCCCCAAGGTCTGAGGGACAGTGGACCGGCCCCCTGCTGAAAAAGTTTGCTGACCCCTGGCCTATTGAGTCCCATTATATGGGAATGGGGTGGGCACAACTTCAGCGAGGCAAATGGGGCTGCACTTTAGACGGAGAAAGCAAACTGGAACTCGTTCTGCAGGGCTGGACCTGAGCTACCTGTTCACACCTATGCTGGCATATCCATGACCTGGGCAACAGAGGAGGCAGCAGCAATGACTCTGAACCAGACAGAGCAGCAGACTCTTTCTGGGAAGATGAGCTGGGGACATTGTGAATAATTTTGCAATATGTTAACTTTTTTTCTGTGCGGAGTTTCCCCCACACTTTTAACAGCACTGATTTCATTCCTTGTTGTTGCATTTCACACGCTAGCAAGGTTATGCTTAAAATTCTACAAGGCAGGCTTAAGCAGTATGTGGACCAAGAACTCTCAGAAGTACAAGCTGGATTTCAAAGGGGCAGAGGAACCAGAGACCAAATTGCAAACATGCACTGGATTATGGAGAAAGCTAGAGAGTTCCAGATTTCATTCCTAGAGAGGTACAAATATCACTTATTTTATTTTGAAGCATTTTTCCTTCACAGACTCCTAGAATTGCAGAGTTGGAAGGCACCCCAAGGGTCATCTAGTCCAACCCCCCTCCCTGCCACAACGCAGGAATCACATGGCAACCAGCAGTAATTTTTTAGGAAGCTCTACTATGCCCGGACATGACTGGCCCGTGCGGGCAGGGGTACCTTTACCTTTACCTTTACCTTACTATGCCCATGTGTTGAACGTGCTTTTTTTTTTTACCTGCAACTTGTATCATTTCAATTGATAGATTGCCTTATGGATTCATGCCTGAACCGCTTGCTGGAGGGGGGCGGCACCTGTGGCAAAAAAACAGTCTATAAATATTGGAAATGAATGAAACAAATGAGGCGGGGGAGTGGATTCCTTTCTACTGCCTCTTTCTTGCCATACCTTCCTCCCCACCCACCCACCCACATTACTGGAAGGAACTGATGCTTCCAAGGTTTGTCTCTCTGAAGCTGATGGGGGACATGCATCTGAGAGGCAGGAGGCAAGCACTGGGGAGAAAGTAATTAATCTCAGGAGATTCGCCTCGGGGATCAGATTGGATGGATTCGTTTTTAACTAATTAAGAAGACAAGCGAGCCCCTCCCCCAGGAGTTGGCTGCGGTTGCACAGAGTGGCCAGCATGAGACTGTCGAGCTACTGACAGGGCGCCCCAGGGGAACCTGAGCCTTCATTTTCCCGAATGAAAGGGGCTCAGAGGTCCTGCATCCCTGGATTAGCTTCTGGTTGAAGCTAATGAAGGGGGTGGACTTAGCAAACTGTTTACCAGGCACTCCACGAGAGATGAGCCAGAGGACTATGGGAAATAAGGTTGCTGGTTTTATTGTTGTTTTTTTAATGTTCTCATGTGCTCACAGTATACAGAAGGCTGCCTGCCGCAGCATCTTTGCATAATTTCTGCTCCTGCCTTTGGTCACCTCTCCTACCAAATACCTTTTTGCCAGGAGTGGGTGATTTGGCCCCGATTTTGCATTGGATGAAACGGAAGCATTCGCTCACCTGTGATAGAGACGCCTCAAAGGAGAGTGCTCAGTGTGTCTCTGTGTGGTCGGAGCCAGTAAATGCTTCTGACTACCAGTTGCTGGAAGCCACAAGAGGGGGGGGCTCTTATTGATGGGTCCTGCTTGTGGGTTTCCTATAATGGGCACCTTGTTGGCCAACTGTGAGGACAGATGGGCCATTGGCCTGATCCAGCAGGCTCTTCTTGTGTTCTAAGAATCAGATAATCCGAAAAGAGTCTCCACTCTTCCACAAATATTTCATCTTTTGGGTCTGTTATTTTTGCTGTCAATTTCGCCATCTCCATACCATACAGTGGTACCTCTGGTTGTGAACGGAATCCGTTCCAGAGGCCCATTTGCAACATGAAAAGAACGCAACCTGCAGCGGCACGTCTGCACACGCGCAGGTTGCGATTCGCCGCTTCTGCGCATGCACATGACGTCATTTTGCGCGTCTGGCTAAACCCAGAAGTAACCATTTCCGGTACTTCTGGGTCGCCGCAGGATGTAACCTGAAAGAACGTAACATGAAGCGGACGTAACATGAGGTATGACTGTATTCTAGCTGCAGTGGTCGCATACTTAAACATTTTAACCAACTTTTTTTTGGACCTCTATCCCTATTGTTCCCCAAAGAAATGCTTCAGGCTTTGGGAGGATGACTATTTTAAACATCTTTTTCCAATTTATTGTGTATCATTTCCCAAAAGTCTTGATTTTTTTACAAGTCCACCACATATGAAAAAACAACCCTTCGGACTAGCCTCAGCTCCCCCCTGAAAAGGATCACCTGAAATAGTGGCAGGTGATCAAGGGATCTATACTACCTTGGTCAGACCCTACCTGGAGTCCTGTGTCCAGTTCAGGGCACCCCAGAAGAAGTCTGACAAAACCCAGCCGTAATGGCACCACCTTCTGAAGGCAGACCGTTATTCTCTAAAAGTAAACTTTTTTTGGAGGGGGGAAGTGTGATTCAGTGATAAAGAGTTCGTATTTTAAGGTGGATTTGCCAAATTTACATTTTCTGAGACAATATAATAACTGAAATGCAGTCACACGTCTCTGAATTTTGCGACGCCAAGGAATGTGTCCAAAAATGCATTTCCTGGAGTATACTGTGCATATAAATACCTATATTAGTGAAAATAACATATAAGATTGCATTATATTAGGGGAAATGCTTCATACGTATATTAGGAGGAAATTCCACTCAAATGTGGATGAATCTGCAGAAGATAAAAACAATAACTGATGTGGAAATGCGGAGATGCGAACTTAAGAATAACAAAAAATTGATAGAAGCCAAAATTGACATTTCAATGTCCCTCTCATTTTAATTTAGTCGGGAGACATCTGCCTGACCTAACAGACAACCGTGTGCCTTCTCCACTTACAAGCTTGAGTACCGCTGACACCCATTGCTCTCCACACACACACACACACACACACACACACACCAAGCTTCTGTCCTATGCCCAGGCTTCATCCTGAAATCACAGGATCCTGGCAACAATCTCCCTTCTGGTTTGGCAGCCGAGGCAACCACCATCCTCTGGCTACGCTTGGCACATTCTGATTCCATCATCCTAACAACTCAATGGGAGGTTTAGGGATGGGGGGGTGGCACAATGCAAATAGCAGCGAGCTGATGGTGTCGTGCATAAATAAGGGACGTCACGGCCGCATTCTGGTCTAGGGCCTGTCAGAGGAATCCACTGGAGAGGTATTAACATTGAAATATCGGCACATGTTCTCCTGGAACATTTATTGGGTGACTCCAGGCTCCAATAAAGCTTTTATATAAATTATTCATTACAGGATTCAGACAAAATGCCAGAACCAAAACAAAGAAGCACAGCGCCACACCCACCCAGGGACTCCCCCCCCTCCTTTTATTACCTCTGAATTTTGCACTACGCTATTAAGCTGGTGAGCAGCAGTTAATTAGGGATGGGGAGTGGGAAGGAAGGAAGGAAGGAAGGAAGGAAGGAAGGAAGGGGCAAGTTGGGAAAGTTGGGAAACATTCTGACAATTCTCCTATTGGCAAGGCAGCATTGGCCAGGAAGAGCACTTCTGGATAAAGCAATTGTCCCATTAATAGCGGTAGTAGTAGAAGATTAGGACACGGTGGCGCTGTGGTTTAAACCACAGAGCCTAGGACGTGCCAATCAGAAGGTTGACGGTTCGAATCCCACGACAGGGTGAGCTCCCGTTGCTCGGTCCCTGCTCCTGCCAACCTAGCAGTTCAAAAGTATGTCAAAGTGCAAGTAGATAAATAGGTACCGCTCTGGCGGGAAGGTAAACGGCATTTTCATGCACTGCTCTGGTTCGCCAGAAGCAGCTTAGTCATGCTGGCCACATGACCCGGAAGCTGTACACCAGCTCCCTCAGCCAATAAAGCGAGATGAGCGCCGCAACCCCAGAGTTGGCCACGACTGGACCTAATGGTCAGGGGTCCCTTTACCTTTACCTTAGTAGAAGATTATGCTGATCAAGGGTTTGGTTATTGAATGCTTTATTAAGCATTCAAACATCATAGGCAATAAAAGCATACAGTGGTACCTCGGGTTAAGAACTTAATTTGTTCTGGAGGTCTGTTCTTAACCTGAAACTGTTCTTAACCTGAGGTACCACTTTAGCTAATGGTGCTTCCCACTGCTGCCACAGCGCCGCCACCACACGATTTCTGTTCTCATCCTGAAGCAAAGTTCTTAACCCGCAGTAATATTTCTGGGTTAGTGGAGTCTGTAACCTGAAGCGTCTGTAACCCGAAGCGTATGTAACCCGAGGTACCACTGTACTACTTCTGATTAGAGGAGTTTGTAACCTGAAGTGTCTGTAACCCAAGGTGTCTGTAACCCAAGGTACCACTGTACCTCAAAAAATACATTCAAAACCACACACCTTGCCACCAAGACAAACACACAT